ACCTTAAACCGCATAAACACATTTCATTACACCAAATACACAAAATAATGTTCTTTTTAGCAACATCATATGACCCCTTTAATAGGTTAACGACAGTAAGTTCTCATACTATATACAGGGAAAAACTGTAAAAGATCTAACCAGACATTTCATGTAATTTTACAGTAAAATGCTGTTAATTGTAACATTTTTAGAAGTAAAAAAAGAACAAATCAACATATAATTTACAGTACAAAACTGTAAACGAATATTCCCAGAATTCCCTGCTTGACACGCCACATTTTAAAGTATTTTGTTTAAATAATTATGTTTCTTAATAGTTTTGTCATGTTTGCTATCAGTTATGTACATGTGGGTTTACGTTACATCTTTTGTTGTTTAATGAATGTTTATTGCATTATTTAAGTGTCGTGTGTTACCATGATGGTGTTTAGTGTTTTTGTGAATGACTGTGCGCCTTCTATATATTAGTATATACTTCAGCTTGTGGAAAAACCACATGTGATGAACTGATTCTTCATATTGCTGTCTCTTTTACCACCTGCATTATTATGGTGGTTGTCAGTTTATGTTAAAGATACGAAACAGATTTTAGTAGCAGTGTGCATTGTTGAATTTACTAGTTTACACTCAAATGTTCTTGTTTGTAAATTACGGTTTTATACTGTAAAATTTACAGTTTGTTCTGTAAATGTTTTTATAGTTTTTCTGTATTTTTTACAAAAATTATTCTGGCAACCACAGCTGCCAAAATTATTTTGTAAAAACTACAAATTGTTTTTTTTTTTTACAGTGTTCATAGATTGCGTCTGCCACCACTGGCCACTTCACTCATTGTTCATGTTAAACAAAATAAGTAGTAGCTTCTTTCGAAAACATTATAAAATCTTGCAGACCACAATTTTTGAACAGTAATGTGCAGATCAGATTGAATTTTAAGATCAGTGCATAAACAACGAGTGAATACTTTGTGTTTAATGTATCCTACACACCAAATCCTAAATTACTTCGAACTCATTTTCAAAAATCTCATTTTAATCTGCATATTACAAACCACCTATTTATGACAGGTTAGGTTTACAGTATGTTGTTAAAACTTGGGATTTTATGTGTATTTTTCAGGCGACAAATGAGCAACTGAATTATTTATTTATAAATTACCCAAACCGCCAAAGCCAGGTATTTTTTCAGAGAGCCTTGACGCGTGTCATGTATTTCTGTAATTAAGATTGACACCACAACTTGATTACAATCAAAACAAAACATGCATATGCAAATCACATGCCCTAGTAATCTAACAAAATGAACTAAAAAGGCTTCTTTGTGTTTGTGAGAAGTATAGCATGTCATATCGTCAGTGTGTCTAGTTGGTAATTACGACATAATTTTACAAAAAGAAAGTGTCTTACCTTAGTTTTTTAATCCCGATTATGTGCAGATCAGGACCCATATGACTTTATTAACCCAAATCCAGATGAAGAGGGCACTCTGTCTGAGGGAGATCTACAGCACAATGCACCCTATGTGTCATGTATAAAGGTACTGTATGCATAAACATTTAGACAGTCCCATATACATGTACACGCTTCATTAATCCTTACCTGTTATACAAAGACATGACACACCTGAGTACATGTATACATAAAAACACTCACTAAACCACACACTGTAAAGGAGCTTCCCCTCTCTTGTCCTCAGGAGCTGGAGCGGGTTCTGAAAACACACCAAAGCAAAGACAAAGAGAACTGGAAAGAGGAGTCTGGGTAAGTCTGCCTGGTGTTTTGTGGGAGATAATATGCAGCAATATTCCCGTGCACAAAATCACTATTTGTAGTTCCAAGTCATTTTCTTGAGACTTGAGCTTCCATTCATTATCATGAATAGTTCCTTTGATATACTTCCTGCCAATAAAAACAAATCTCATTCAAAAACATCCCCCATCCAGAATTTCTCTTCTTAGAACTCAAGTGTGTGTTTACATTCAGCTCCTAATGTAAAGGTGCCATGAATTTCAACCCTCAGAGTCTACAGCTGCCGTTCCCACCAACAAATGTAGCCCTCATATTTCCATGAGACAGGGTAACTTTTTAATTGGTGCAACATGCTGTCAATCAAATCTAAATGAAATGTATTAATTGCATGATGCACAAATTAATTATTCAATCTTAAGAATCACATAGTAATTTGTAATCGCAAATAAAAAAGAAACTGTAGACATTGCTATATTGTGACGGGTGAGTGTAGCATTGAATAGAAATGACAAAAAGTGACTTTACAAGTCATTATATTGTTGGTTTTGCTTTCATATAATTGATGTTTTACTTGAAGCCATTTCTAAATGAACATGGAGGGTATGATAAAATACCTTTACTATTTTTTTTTTTACAAATGCCCTTTGACACATGAAGACTTCACACTGGACAAAGCCTCTTTAGGAGCAAAAAGACAAATAACCATTAAAAGACATTAAAAATCTTTAAACGTCCAAACTGCTCACAGCATGATGGATTTTACTGTATATTGGTACTGTGTTCCAAACAAAGTAACAAGCAGCAGCTGCAGTGAAGTGCTCTTAAATATTTGGCGGGGGCATTCACACAGAATGCATATTTGTGTTTAAAAAATGTGAGACGCAGGACAGTGGAATGAAGAACAAACCGTGGGGTCTAGAGACGCGATTTTTAAAAGTTACACTTCAAATTTGAGCGCTGTGATTTCAGAATGACATGTCAAAAGAAAACAGTGGAAAAGTAGTGTAGTGGAATGCAGAAATTCATTCTTTGTGAATGGCCCATTAGACAAACAAGAGTCTAAATGTCATTGTGGTTTTCGTTTTGGTTGCAGTATTATGCAAACATTTTTGACCTTTAAAACATTCAGTTGTGCAGTTTGTCACAGGAAAAGTGACAAACATGCATGCATGACTCTTTTTTTATTTGTATTTTTTATTTTTTTTAGATTACTTAGAATAGGTGTGGCACAGTTTTCTCTGGCTTGCATTACCATGTCTTTCATAGTCAACAAACCACTACTGTGTCTCGGATTATGCAATGCACTATGACATGGCATTGTATTGCAATTAGGGTTTTTATGGTGTCAAAATGTCAGTATTCAGTACCAACATCAGTTAAAGTTCATTTTTCATTAAAATAACAGTTTTGATACTTTGCAGTCAGTCTGAATTCTGAAACTTAAGTCAAAGAGGGCCTTAAGGATAAGAGGGTCTACAAGGCTGCTTGTGTAATGAGTGTTTTTAAATTTGTGACATTTGATTGCTTCACTTACTCAATTAGCTATTTTCCCCATGGGATTTGTCTGTTGCCTCCACTATTTTATGTGCTTTACACAGATATTGCACAATCATTGAAACGTTCCTGTAAAAGTTCTGACAAACTATGGGAATGTGATAAGGGGCACCAGAACTGAGGTGATTACAACAACTGAACGTACTTGTGTTGGCTTGTAAAATGCACATTTCTGGTATAGACAACAATTTCCTAAACAATGTCTAATGGTATAGAGTGCATTCTAGGTGAATTTTAAAGTGACTGTGCTCTATGATCAAGGGTTCCACATAGTCCAACAACAAAACAACTTTTTGTTGATAGACTGTAATGTGTTTATATATATTTATGTATATAGATTTAAACATGATATTATTTTATCTTATTACCTTTAATAAGACACATGTCCATGCATTTATCAATACACAAACAAAAATGAATAAAAGTGAAAGAGCAGACTTAATAGTGTAGATGGAGCTTTACATTTGAGTGTATTCTAGCAGGAGAGAGGATGTAGATTGCTAAATAATAAGAGCTACATTTTCATTTATGAACTTGAAATGGGCATGCATTTATGTTTATTTAATGCCAATTAGTATGATATGGACAATGGTAATTGTTTAAAGTTTTTATGCATTTTAATTTCTAATCATATCAAGTGTGCAGTATGAATGCTATCTTCATGTTTGCACATTGACAGCTGTTTTTATTTAATGTGGGTATTTTTCTATATATGGTGTATCAATGATGTTGTGTCACATGTGTTACGAGCCTGGGTTGTTTTTTTTACCTTGGTATTCCAAAGAAGTTAACAAAAGGGGGAAGTGATGCAATTTTATGAACCAAATAATTCCCTTGCATTCTATTGAATTGAGTTCAGAACAAAAAAGCAAAGCCTTTTGGCATACCTCACCCAAAGCCCGTTCACCCATCCAGTCTAGATTAGATCTTATTTAGATCCAGACTAGCAATGTTACACGTTGAGTCAGGGAATGGAGGTTTGTTTGCTTTATATATTATGACAATGTCTAATGTGTTGCATTAAATGCATTTCCTAGTTATTTATTCATTTGATCATGGGTAAGCAGTAATCATATACACTTTGTTTTGTTAAGTGTCTAAATAATAAAGGAGGGGGAAAAGTTCACAAAACAATGGGATGCTTTTCACAACAATAGACATAAATGAATTCAGTATGTGACTTGTTTTTGGCAGCTACATCTATAGGCATGTCATGATGCCAGCGCACACTCCCCTTTCTAAAAACTGGCACTGGTTCACTGTAGAAGCCTTAAAGTAGCAGGGCTGTGCCAGTGCCAACACAGCGTTTTGTCTCTGGAAAATTGTTTTGATATTTTACCTCAAATGATACACTAATGACTTTCATGCTATAAGACATGCTTTATGTGTTTGCTTTATTTTACCTTGGTGTTCCATAAGTGTTAACATGAGAAGGACCATGTAAACAGAAGCTTTCCTTTCATTGAGTTAAGCACCAAATGGAAAAAACAGTTCCTATCCTTTTGTTTGTCCAGTGCTACAAGGCTTCCTCCACCCTTGTGTTGTATTCAAATGTAGATTTATGTAAACACCATCACATGTAAAACACGGTCACTATTTCAGATTGTAGGATGAGCTGGCAGATCTCATTTGCATCCAATATTATGGAAAGACCCCAGATTCTTAATATAATGGGTGGAGCCCTTTTCAGTGAATTTGGCGAGTCACACTAAATATACAGTATATAAAAAAAACGATGGCACAAAGTTTGCTCACAGATTGAAGGTTCGCAGGAGTTTTACATTGTAGTCGTCTTCAGCCTTTTAAGGTCACAGAGTCATAATTATTTTCCAGAGAATTCCCAGATTCTGTAGTATCCAAGCGTGAAAACGAAAAACAAGTCATCTTGAGTCATCATGTAAATTCCGAGTTAGTAGCCATACTTTCCAATTATTCTGTGTTTTATCGTGTATCCGCTTAAGTGGGTGTACGTGTACGTTAGGTTACTAGATGAGAAGAATTCCTTGTATGGTAAAAAGAAAGGGGTGGAGTCAAACTAGTTTTTTGGAGGAGTTCTAGTTTGTGGCATTTGAGTCATTGTTTTGATTGTCAACAGTTAAGAGTGCTCTTGATACACATTTCCTATATTAGACGTTCTTCAAATCATGTTTTTTTTTTTGCCAGTTTTTGTTTATTTTATAAAACCTTTGTTAAGGCTGGAATACGCTACATGATTTAAAAATCCGAACAGATTTTAAAACAATAGGCATCCTGTAACAGAGAAAAACTGGGCATCATACACTAAATGACTGAGGATCACGCATTATCAGACAAGTCATTACGAACTCAACAAACTAATGCAGAAACATGCCTTGTTGCTTGGAGACGTGTGACAAATGGAAACAATTTGTATTTTGTATGAAAATATGGGCAAAAGTTGTGTAATGTGTTCCAGCCTTTAGTCTAACTTCTAGCTAAAATAACTTGAGATTTTTTTCACAGTTAATTGAAATGAGATATGCTTTTGATTTGTCTCACTCACTGTGAAGTTATAGTGGTGTACAGATGGCTGGGTGACAATATGTTCCAGGAATGATGACCAAACATGCTCTGCTGCCAAAGCCATGATAAAGTAATACATGAAAACGGGAGAACTCCCCCATTCTAATTACCATTTGGTCTGGGTCCCTCTTGTCCAGAGGAGAAGCAGTGCCAATACATCTGAGAGAGAAACCAGATGCAGGGGCTGCCAAAGGAGTTAGCCATGCTAGGCCTCAAATGCCTTAATGGGGCCCCAACTGACCTTCTTCTGGTCGGATACTCATGAAAAGGTTCCTTCACCCATAAAATGGAGGTGGGAAACCATCGACCAATGGTAGAAAATAGAAAAATATATCCTATCGAGACACCAGTGTTTACAGTAAAATGCACATGCCATATCTGCTCAAAGGCTTCATTAAAGTCCTGTACCATCACTCCCTGTATCACGCTAACATATGTGCCTGAAGGCAGCCACTACAAGACTGCTAGCCATTTGTAAATCCGATAATGGTCCACCATAAATAAATTAAACAAATTAATGCATGAATTCATAGCCACATTCCCTTCTGTTATGATATTTCTAAACAGTCTGTTCTTCTATGAATTATTTTAACTTCACATGGACTCAGACCTTCACTGATGACTGAAATGTTATAATAGCATCTTAATTGTGCAAGTAACACGATGTAAGAATTTGACTGATTGACTAAGTTGTGTTTAAGAATTCAGCAACAACATCCTTTTGTCTCTTTCTTTTTTGTCTCTCTCTCTCTCTCTTGGCTACTTCAGCTCCGAGAAAGAGCAGTTAGCTGAAGAAGATGAGGATGACTTAAAGGAAGTGTTGGATCTGAGGAAGATCGCAGTACAGCTACTACAACAAGAGCAACAGAACAGGTGATCTTTCATGCTAAATCACACATGGTCATGCGACCTGCAGAGTCCATCAAACACGTAGACAGTATCTCCATCAGACTCCCTGTCGTAATATAAGGGCTGTCTATCGATTAAAAGATGTCATTAATAAAATTGATAGCAAATAACTGCATACATAATGAGCACCCAAAAGTACTTTTTTTGTTGTTTTACTTGCTTGCCACAAGTCTTTGAATTGGCTATATGGTCTAAAAATTTGTTTATATAATGGGGTTGTTCTAGGGTTATTGGATATTCAGAGCATCATACATTGATTAAATATTGGAATATTATATACTTCATGTAATATTATATACTAGTTTACAGAAGATTTTATGTGTTCAAATTGCAGCTCTGAATAAGTTGTGACAAAAAATTACCTGACATGAAAACTTAAAAGAGACAAGGTAACAAAAAACATTCAGGGCTTTACTAAAAGCAGTCAGGGCTTGAAGGGATAGTTCACCCAAAAGTGAAAATTCTCTCATCATTTACTCACCCTCATGCCGTTCCAAACCCATTAGACTTTGTTTAGTCTTCGAAACACAAATTAAGATATTTTTAATGAAACGTGTGAGTCAGGGCTGTACGCAGTGTTTCATAAATATACTGAGGTCCCAAAATTGAGCTTGTTAGGGGGGTTTGGGCACATGTCTTAATGGAAAAATGTTGATTTCTCTGATCTACAGATATGCATTTTAGTATGTCTGAAGGCCCAAAAAAACTGCATAACAGTAGCTTTAAAAGCATGACAGTGGACAAGTAGCATAATTTATTTGTCAAGCTGATTCATAAGAAACACAAGAATCAGGTGAAGTGTTGCAATGGATGATCCATAAAAGGAGGAACAGGAATGGTTTTAAATAAGAAATTAATGAGAAATTTAGTAAAATAATATTCTTTATTTCATCCTTGTGCATCATTTTGGATTTAAATTATAGATATCTCAAACAGTAAATAAACATAAGCAAAATGTGGTTTATATGAGTAATTTGTATGAGCATCAAAGATCAGATAGTTTCAGCAACTTATTTCTTTCCTTGAATCAATACGTAAATTTGAACTAATTGTTCAGTCATTGGCTCACTCAAAAAGACAGTCACTTATCGTCACCTACTTGTTTAGCAATGCAAGTTGCACCACTTTTTAGACTGTCAGTCTGTATGGAACGTGCAAACACAGACATACTTGTGAAATATCATCAGTCTTTTTCGTCTGTGTAAGTAAAGGAAGTAAACATAAGGTCACAACGTTAATTAACTGAAGGCTACCAAGAAAAATAGGTTTATTAAATAGTTTATTAAATTAATTCACAGTATGTTCATAATTAATCTTATGCCTTACTGTTTTATGTCTCGTCACATTGATAATTTACATGAATCATGTACATTTTAGTTTGACGTGGCAAAATTAAACAAAAGTTTATTAGTTTGCATCGCTGGTTAACTGTTTTTCTATTATAAAACCACTGTCAAATATGAAATATTCAGTTTAGCTACTTACAACTAATATTTCACTTTATGACCGACAGATGAATGGAATTTGTGCTCAGCAGCCTCTGTGAACTGTAAAGCCCACCTGCTTTGATTTGATTGGTCATCTCAAACTTTATTATAGTTCATGAGGAAGTCAGTAACCTTAGTGTTGTGCAATATCTTTGCAGCACCAAAGCAGAGGTAATATTAGCCAATTATTTTACAACTATTATTATATTTTGGAAAAGATTCAGCGGACCAGACCTCGGGGACCTCAGTGGTGGGTATGGCCAAAGCCACTAGAAGGCAAGCCTGCAATCTTTAGCCAAAAAAGCGTAACGGCTAATGCTAATGCTTCCACTTTGGAGTTTACACAGAAAAAAAAGACGTTTTATAAGAGAAATCACAGACTTTTTGCGACGGGTAGGATACAGCTTCCGGCACTTCTCATTTATTCCTATGGTATCTGTAAACAGCGATTGAGTGTCGCACAACTCTTGTGAAAGGTGGGCTTCAGCTTACGGCTTTTCTCATTCATTCCTATGGTATCTGTAAACGGCGATTGAGTGTCGCACAACTCTGACTGAAATTCAGTGAGGTCAAGGCTGTAATGTGATTGGTTATTAAGGCACACGTGATCCAAGTTGCCCATTACGCTTTCTCCAATAGTAAGTAATACAGACCCTCTCATCTCCCAATAATAGTAAGACAATATCTGGTATGGCCATGCTGCGAGTTTCTGTCCCTCTATTGAAAGTTCAGGTAACCAAAACTTCAAGATTAACCAGTCTTATGGTTTTGAACTGACATGAGGTTGAGTAAATGATGACCGC